AACCAGTTACACAGCCTTGGGGAGGGAAGAAATGCCTTAGCAGTGTGAAAGACGAGTTTTAATGGATGATGAAATCAATGAGTGAACTTGTGTTTTTTGCTGCCACAACGTTGGGTCATTTCCCTAGAAATATGGTCTTTTTTTTTTTTTCCAGAATGGAAAATCCATTTTGGTGGGTAGTTTCTGGTCCGAGGAGAGAAAAATGTAGGTCACTCAGAATGACCTGGGTGGAGAGGTGTCTCAAAGCTTGTGGAAAATCAGGGGGACAAACCAGAGTATTTAGCCTAGAGAAGAAATAATGGAACATGTCTGCTTTTTAAATACATGACAGAACAGTGGTGACAGATGTTGTCAGTGATCACAACAGAGTGGAAGTCAGATCAGTAGGTGAAAATTACAGAGATTGATTCTGGTGCATTCTTTGACAGAATTCCCCAATAGTCAGAGCTATCTAAAAAGAGCTCCAGCTGCCCTGGCTAGTTTGGCTCAGCGGTTAGAGTGTTGGCCCATGGATCAGAGAGTCCAGGTTCGGTTCCCGCTAAGGGCATGTACCTCGGTTGCAGGTTGTCCCCGGCCCTGGTTGGGGTTGTGTGGATGGCAACCACTCCATGTGTCTCTTCTCTTCCTCCCTCTCCCTCTCTCCCTCCTGCTCTCTCTGAACATAAATGCAAAAAATGTCTTCCTCAGTGAGGATTAAAAAAAAAATTAAAAGAGCTCTGGCTGATGTCGAGGTAAGGAGCCTCTGTGGGTAGAGGCATTTGACTAGGTGACGTATGGCAAAATGTTGTTCTGAGCACTGGATAAGTGTTGGTTAGAACACCTCTCAGACTCTGAGAGCCTCTGACCCAGAATGGAATGTCCCAGGAGATCGGTGAGCAGCAAGGTCCCAGCTTGGAAAATGGACAGGAAGACCAGAGAGGGGCTGAGAGTTGGAAGAAGGTTAGGAGTGCATGGGATATATCAAGGTGGAATTGCAGATGGGCTTTTTAGAATATGTTGTGGAATTCTAACCAAATACTGATGGAGAAACACTAACAACACTTCTCATGAAACATGCCTATTTTACTTCTAGGACGTTTAGGTGAGGTTGTATGTGTGTAAATATAAGCAATTTAATGAATTTTATCTGTGAATTCTCTACTTGTTTCTATCTAGATTATACCATTTGTAAAGGAACAAACAAATGTTTGGATTTCCACAATTATGACTGACTTTAATGTGTATTTCTTATCCAAGATCCAGATAGGCAAATATATATGCTAATATCTCCAAGAAAAGAAAACCCTCAAATAAACTTACAACTTTGAGAAACAGCTGCAAAATAATTGCATTTGCTAGTTGCCCTTCCTGGTGTTCATTGAGTTTTATCACATTTAATTTTAAGCTTAATTGTGAGATAGTGAAATTAGTACATTCCTCTAAGGAATGGAAAGTTGTGCTGCCATCAGAGTGATGATTCACTGCAGGCATGCAGCTGTGTCCCTGAAGACACGCCCTTCTGCAGATGTCAAGACTGGACCTGGGGCCCTTTTCCTGGAACCTGGATCACTGGGGATCAAGGGTTAAAGGCAAATGACTCAGTGCTCTGTCCGCTACTGCTAGCTTCAAGGAATTCACTTAAATGCATAACAAGCATGCCAGCGTGTCCATACAAGTGTGTCTGGTGCAGCATAAGGAAGCATTATTTTGAAATACTTGTAAATGGAAAAATAAATCCACAGTGGAGGTGAAAGCTGCCTTTCAGCCCTGGCTCTCAGATGCAACCAGTTTCTTGGTTATCTTTCCAGAGATATATTTGTCCACACAACAGCAAAGCACCCTCTTGTGTACCTTGCTTTTGTCATTTAAGGACATGATCTTAAGAATTAACATGAAGAACAAGGACATTAAAGCCAGAATACCTGGGCTGAAATCCAGCACCACAGCTTACTAGCTTTGACCTTGAGCAAGTCACTTAAACGGGGATAGTCAATAGTACCTGTTCAATACATGTAAACATTTAAAGCAGTGTCTGTCCCAGAGTTACCATTAAAATACCATTAGCCATTGTTCTTGAAGATTGTCCTGTGTCAGTACATACAGAACACCCTCATTCTTATTAATGACTGTTACTCTGTTATTCCTTAGATGTGCCCTTGTATCTAATCAGCCATCTACTGAGGAATTTTTCAGTTGTTTCTGGCCTTTTGGTAGTTCAGACAATACTATAGTGAAAACCTTATACACATATAATTTCATATATGTTTGAATGTATCTGTAGGATAAAGTCCTAGATGTGGAATGCGCAAAGGGAACTTGCATTTTGAATTTGATAGATGTTACTCAATTGCTCTTCATACGGGTTACAGCAATTCATAAGGGTTATAGCAATTTATACTCCCACAAACAATTAAGGACCATCACCAGCACAGATTTTATTAACCTACTTTTAAAAAGCTTTTATTTTTACTTTATTGTGATGAGTTGACCATCTTTTCACATTTTAAAAGTCATTTTTTTCTGAGATGCTTTTTCTTTGTCTTGTGTTCTTTTTATTATTGATTTATGTAAAAAGGAAACAGTGCTCTCTCAGATGCTACAAAAAAATTTGTTTCCCTTGTCTTACTATCTTAGAGTCAAACTCTGGAAACAACTGAAATGTTCTTTAGCAAAACATTGACTAAATTATGAATGGCATACTTGAAGCTTTGTTGACATAGAAAAATGGCTGATATGTTTATGAACAAAGCAAGTTACAACACTGCAAAAAATGTCCACAGGGCAGCTCTGTAGAGGAAGAGCAACTAGCCTCATTGCTCATGCTTTACATTTTAGAGTTTTAAATAAACCTATACAAAAGTGCTATTTGTCTCTTATTAGGATGCCTTGGTTCGTTAGGTTGTCTTATTCATAGGCAGTATTTGGCAGTGATATTCGTATGCATTCCACAGAGACTTAAGATAATCCTTGTTTTCTGAAAACTTGCAGGTTAATTGTAATAACCGTATGTCTTAGTCTTAACCAAAATACCTGTGATGATTCAAACGCTGACTTATGGGGAGACATTTAAAATCCATCTAAATATTTTGGCCTAAAATACCATTTGGATTAATTGGGGTGGGGTGGACTGGGCTGGTGGGATGAGGAAAAGAAACTGTGTTTGTCAGGTGTATGACTCAGGAACCTATTTCTTTGCCGTTTGTTTTTGCTGTATTCTTAGAAAATCCTTTATTCAACAAATGGTACTACACTCCAACCATAGGCTAGGAATGGGACGGGGTGGTTTGGGGCGGGGGGGTGGGAATGGTTGGTTCTGACATCGAAGACCTCACATCTCCTGGGGGATGGAAGCATGTGAACCGGTGATTCCAATCTGAGGGCAGCGAGCACTGAATTGGGGAGCAGGCCAGACCATTCCCCTGCCGCTCACTGAGTGACACCTTGGGTGACGCTACCTCTCACAGCCTTGACTGCATCGGCCAAACAAGCCTTCACGTCACAGGCTCCTTAGCAGGGCTCACGAGGTGCCCATGGAGCACCCGGCACAGCCTGGCACGGAGTAAGCACGGAACCACCTGTTGGTCCCACACCTGCTCGGAGCGCAGCACCTGGAAGAGAAGTGCTGCAGAGTAGGAGGGCCTACCAAACCTCATCACGTCTGGTACAGACTAAGCATAAGGGGGGGGAAAGGTGGTCTTTTCATTGAAAAATAACTGGGGTTTCTGCCAAAACAGATACATGTGTTCAGCATTCCATCCGCGTTTTCCCGTAGATAAAGCAGTGTTGAAACGCAGTGTGTGATTTTCAGTTGGCTGCAATAAAACAACCTGAGAGGAATGTCATTTGTACTTGCATCGAGCTTCAAAATACTCCAAATTTCCTTCCCTTGAGGAGCAGCTTCCTCCCCACCCCCACCGCTGCTCAAACTTCCTACCCCTTAAACTGCAGCACCTCTAACAACGAGGTGGCACACTCTATGGCCCCAGGGCTCAGAGGACAGAGTGACCGGTCCAAAGCGACAGTTTTTATGAACAACTTGTATTCATGTGTATATAGTCAGGAATTTATAGATTACATTATGTTACATTGCTATATTGCTTTGTACACATTCTCAAATTCACTTGTTAAGTTGTCAAAGTATTCTTGAGTACCAGGCAGTAGAACCATTGCTGGTGCACTGAGTTTTCCTTTTTCACCTAGACTGCACATTGCTGAATGAGCCAGGAACTATGTCTATTTCTTTTCCTTTTCTTTCTTTTTTATTTTACTTTATTTATTTTTTGAGTGCTGATTTATAGGGTAATTGTTTAGGACTGGGCAGAGAAGAATAAATAAAGAAGGGTATTAGTAAGACCAGATTTGAGATGAAGATCATGAGTTCAGCTTGAAGATACTGAATTTGAGGGGCTGCATATACTATTTGTTATGATATAAAAACATTGTAAACTACTTTTCTGTACGTAAAACGGATGCTCCAGGCAGCCGCGGGGGTTTCCAGCCCCCCTGCACCTCCCGGGTGAGTGGTGTCCAGTGCGAGAGGCAGAGTGAGCGCTGGCCTTGTTAAAGGACTATTTTCTCCCCAGAGTTTAAAAGTAGTGAGATGAGATAATAAACAGATTTAGTCCCCTTTAAACCACCATCTGCCTGAAGGTTATCCACGGAGAAAATTCCGTGGCAGCTTAGAGCCACCCAGCAAACCAGCCAGCCGGTGTGACAACATCCCCTGGCCGGCGGCTGAGCCAGGAGCCGTCCACGGCTCCGCGTGGGAGGTCCCCGTCCCGCGTGTCCTGGCATGGCTTGTACTCGGGGGCCCAGTGCGGGGCTGTTTTCTGTAAACACAAAACCATGGGATTTGAGACAGGCCTGGAAATAAGTCATATTTTTTCTCCATCAGTAATCTGGATTCTTTGCAAATGACTGTCCCAGTTTGACGTTTAGGAGAACAAAGACGACGCCTGTCCTTCCCGTTTGCGCTCCAGAGGGCTGTCGCCCGTAACGCACGCCCTGCTTTCCCGCTGCAGGTGGACAGTACGTGGCCGTCTCCGCAGCCAAGGGCCCCGGGGGGAGAGCCGCGCGCTTGGTGCTGCCGCTCGGCCACCTCGCGCAGGCAGGGGACCTGTGCCTGTCGTTCAGGCACAAGGTGACGGGGCTGCACGCCGGCACGCTGCAGGTGTTCGTGAGAAAGCACGGTGCCCACGGAGCGGCCCTGTGGGGCAGAAACGGGGGCCACGGCTGGAGGCAAACGCAGATCACCCTGCGAGGGGCCGACGTCAAGAGCGTAAGTAGAACCGCAAAGGACGCAGATGGGGGGGGGGGGGTTCCTTTCATAGGACCCTGGGGTCCAAGCTGGAAGAAGCCTTGTTCTCTCCCTGAACTCGGGCTCAGACAGAGGTTTGTGTTTTTTCCTGGGCCTGACAACTCCATTCCTTGCCGCTTTCTTTAATCACTTTTTTGCTTCTTCATCCATTCTTCATTGAAACTTATGACCACCACCCCTCACCCTACCTTGGGGTAGATCCCCTACTTAAAAAAAAAATTAGTAATTGAAAAAGTAAAAATGTTAGTCAAGAGAATCTTCCAAGGGCAGGGTGGTGAGCTTTACCCGTCCTACTTGGCCTTGTATTCCTTATACTTCAACTCTGACCATCGTGTTACCCTGGAGTGTTTTTCCCCCAAATATTCCTTTAAAGTCCCCTTTTTCCCCTTTGCCTCAGAGAACCTAGTTAAGCAGCTTTGGGTGGGACCCAAAACAATATGCTTGAAAGACCCTATTCCATTCAGACAGGATGTGAGAAAAGCTTTGAATATATACATTTTATTTTACGTAATCAAGTCACATGTAGCAATCAGGTGACCTGTAATTCCTCACTGAAATAATGAATGTATTTGGAAAAAGTGTTTTCTTCATATTAATGCTTATAAAACTGTTACTATTAGGACATTCTGCCTCTATGCCTGTAGGTATAATTTCTATAAACTTATTTTTTCCCTGTTCTTTTTATTATTAATTTATTTTTGTTACAGATGTTTCTCCTTTCTTTCCCCATTGACACCCTCCTCCCCATTCCCAGCTCTGTTGTCCGTGTCCATCGGTTATGCGTACATGCATGTCAGTTCTGTGGTTTATCTCTTCTGAGGGTTGTCAGTCTGTACCCTACTTCCACGTCTCTGGGTCTACCCTGTTCCTCAGACTGGTGTGTTCATTATATTCCACAAATGAGATCATGTGATATTTGTTTTTCTCTGCTTGGCTTGTTTCGAGGATAATACTAAACTTTTAGAAAGAAATGGTTATCTCCATTAATATAGCTTTAATCAGAGTCTTGAATTTTATTTCACTTTAATTTTTAAATATTGTTTGTTCTTTATTGGTTTTTAGAGAACGAAGAAGGGAGAAGGAGAGATAGAAACATCAGTGAGAGAGAACATTAACTGGCTGCCTCCTGCGTGCCTTCCACTGGGGATTTGGCCAGAAACCTGGGCATGCGCCCTGACTGAGAATCAAAACAGCGACCTCTTAGTGCGTGGGTCAACACTCAACCACTGAGCCACACTGGCCGGTCTACTCTCATTTTAAGTTTTTCTTTATATATATATTTTAGAGAAATAAGACAAGAAAAATTATTTTCCACCCCAGCCTAGACAGCTTGCTTTTGTTTTTAAAAGGAGCAAGGATGGTGTAAAAGATAAAGTCCAAGAAGAGTGAAAGCCTTAGTCTTTGCATCAGTGAAGCAACACTGTGTGGGGACAATGGAGTTCGGTCGTTTCATTCTATAGCAGAGCTGTCTAAGCCCCTCAGAGGGCCCAGGAAGCAGCAGACAGGCCACAGGGCTGGGTCTTGGAGCCCTCGGGCCCTCAGCTTCTGCCCCTTTACATTCCATCGCACCCTTTTTACTTCTGACCTCAGTCATCGTTGACTGGAGAGTCCACGTCACAAGTGTTCTTAAATTGGAGCCGTCTGTAGTTTAGAATGGTGTTTAAAGTGTAACTGATTAAGCAACATGGTCTTATTAAGTTTCCTGGCAATTTAAGTTTCCACCAGAAGGCAAGCCCAGGTGACTAGTCTTTCCTTCTGTAGAGTAAGGGTACTGTTTAGTTTGCCTTTATTTTGCTCAGTGAGCAGGCATGGGGAAGGACAGAGGAGGCTTGACCAGTGTGTGCATTCTCTTCCCAGGTCATCTTCAAAGGTGAAAGAAGGCGTGGCCACACTGGCGAGATCGGATTGGACGATGTGAGCTTGAAAAAAGGCCACTGCACCGAAGAACGCGAGCGACTCCATAACTAGCAATGAAGTCCTGTGTTGCTCCCTCTTCTTTTTCTAATCTTCACCTCCTGTCTGCTCCCTTTTAACAGACCTAGGAGAAGAGTGGGTCAGTGGGTCAGAGTGTCTGGGCATTGACCCACATCTTGTTGCCTGCTTTTGTGCAATCCCAATGAACAGTGACACTCTCCTTGAAATGGGACATTTGTGGACACATGCAAGCCATCTGTGGCTCCTTTAGGAACTGATCTTCAGCATGTGTGACCTGTGCCATCCTTCATTCATCCTGGTGACAAGGTGTTCCTTGTAGTAAATTATGGGAGATGTTTTCAAAAGAAATTTGTGCAAATAGCCATTCTGTTATCTGTTCAGTGTTGTGCCACTAGTAGTATCGGCTTCCCCTAAGACGTGTCGTAGTGTGCTTGTGAAATGTTTCTCCTCTTCACCGTTAGTGCTGGACTGAACTCTTTACTGCCACTCACTTTATAAAAGAAGGATGTGTAACATATCAAAATGCATTTATTCTTGTTATTTGTGTATTTCTTTTTAAGACAATTATGTAATTGTAATTAGTAGTATTGTGTTTTATGTAAATGTGCTGTTGATATTAAGTAGTTATGTGTTCCTGATATTTACAGACTCTAGTTGCCAGGGCAAGGCAGCTTGTGATCTCGAGTTAAAAAACACCCGGTGAAATGTTATCCAGTTCTATAACCTTATATTGGTAGCAAGAGAAATTTGGAAATGGTGTCAGGTGGGGTAGGGGAGGGATGAACGTTTTCAGAGGATAGTCAACCATCGAGGTAGACAAGAAGCTGCAGCTAGCACGTCAAACCCTCACTGTTTCTCACTACACTGAAAACCAGCAGCTTTCACCGTAGTAACACGGTTCTCTGGTGATTTGTTAGAAACTTGGCGAAGTTCTGGCTGTTGCACAGGACAGTCTGTTTCTGGGAGCAGGGTGAGGAGGAGCAGGGGAGCAGCGCTGTGAGAATAGATTTCATACTAATTTTCAAATCAGTATAAATGTAGGCAGGTCTAGCTCCTAACTTAGGTCAGGATGGGCGAGGGAGCCAGTCTCATGCTTTGAGGGATTGAATTGTTGGAATAGAATTCCCTCACACACTAGAGCAACAGGCGAATTCAAAGATCTAAGAACCCTCAACTAATATATTTTCCCCCTTGCATAGTTTATATTAAAAAGTATATATAACCTTTGAAATGCAACTTACTACTGAGGCTTTTCCTCATTTCTGATTAAGTAATCAAAATATTTTCTGCTGTTTTTGCCAGGAATCACAAAGATGATTAAAGGGTTGGGAAAAAAGCTCTATGATGGTAAATTAAAGGAGCAGGGATTATTCGGCCTGGGGAAGGCAAGACATCATTGCTGGTTTTCAAGTGTGTGAAGGGTTGGTACAGAGGGGATGGTGACCAGCTGTTTGCCAGATGCACTAAGACTAGAACAAGAGCAAGCAGGCTTAGACTGGAGTGTGAGGGAGTCTTTGCAGGCAGGGTCAGCTGTTCAGTTAGAGTCCCTTATAAAAGAGTGTGAATCTCTCATTTTCCCCAGAGGCTTTTAAAAAATTAGATAAAAATTTGTCTATTTAAGGTAGTTAAGGATGGTCAAGATAGAGTAACAGATTACAGAATCTCCCCAAAGATGTTTTGCTCCTATTACTGTAATGAGAATCTCCAGAACTAAGTCATTTGGATTGGGCCACGGTTTAATTTAGGTACTTCCCTCTGTTGCTCCCTAGTGAAGAAGAATCCAAAGGGGACAAGTCCACCAAGTGCTGAGCTCACCACAGTGTCTCTCCCTTTATGGCAAACCTAGCAGTATTAAAGCAAAAAACAAAAACATATATATTATATATATATTTATTCAAAAAGAGTATAATGAACAGATGTTTTAGTATCTCGGTATTCTAATGTGATGTTTTTCTTTTTCCTTGAAAAACACATTCACCTGCTCAGTGGATGATGCTTCAGATTTTTAGAGACCATAACAAGGAACAGAGTTTACAGAAACTTTTAACTGGTGCATTCTTTCTGCAATTTACGTAACGTGGCCACGGATAGAGAGCGCCAGGCCCCACACGGCCGCCAGGTGCTCTCCTCCGCCTAATTGGTATAGTTCACTGTCTCGTTATCAGGAGACTCTCCCACGTTCCACAATGGTAATGTTTTTTTGAACAATAGGTGTAATAGTATATATTTGGTCATTTACCTTGGTGGGGGCAGGAGAGGAGTATAAATCACTGAGTGAGCAGGGGCCAGCAAATATGGCCTTGGGTCCCGTTTTAATGATTCTTTTCCTTTTTGGTCCTCTTACTGCACAGTTGAAGATGAAAGGGGAAAATAATTGAAAATTTCACTTTGAGGTGCCAATAATACGTTGCACTAAACTGATGGAAGAAGTTATCCAAAGTACTGTATAACATCTTGTTTATTATTTAATGTTTTCTAAGGTGAAAAATGTTAGTGGTTTTCCAGACAGCCAAATAAAAATAATTCTTTGTAAATAAAAACACTGTTAATAATGGCAGATGTCTATTTCTTTTCTTTCTGTTTAATTGGGATCATATTACTGCTTGCCATGATTGGGGACAACAATATTGGCCACATTATTATGCTTTCTAGGTTACAAAATATGAGAGATTTATTCAGCATGGATTAGGAAAGAGATCAGATCATTTAACACGTCATACCTTAGCAAATTGCTTTAATTTCCTTATGTCTCACATAGTTATAAACATTTGCCTCATTTGTTTATTTTTGTTGTTTGTTTTTATGGAAAGACAGAAAAAGCTCTAATTAAATATATAAATATATATGGATCATAAATGAAAAGCCTTTTCACTAGTGTTGATTTTGTTAATTTATGACATTTTTACTCATATTTCAACAATCTTTTCTAATGGAGAAAACTACAAAGAAGAAAAATTAATGAAATGTAAGTTTAAAAATTAGTTCTCCTACAAAAGTATAGAGAATATGGTTAAATGGCTTCTTTCTTTCCAATACGAGCAGCTAGGATGCTCAAGTTTTGGATAAACACATACTTCAAGCAAAAGTAAAGAAAAACTACAGTTCCTTTTTCTCGGAGATATTCCCTTATCTCATAGATCCTTCTTTAAAAAAATTTTTTTTTTCTTTATTGATTTTTAGGGAGAGAGAGAGAAACTGCTGAGAGAGAACATCGATTGGCTGCCCCCTGCTGCCCTCCACTGGGGATCGGGCCCACAACCTGGGCATGTGCTCTGGCCGGGAATCGAACTGGCGGCATCTTGGTGCATGAGTCGATGCTCAACCACTGTGCGACACTGGCTGGGCTCATAGATCCTTCTTAATAATTCTTAGGAGATCTGAGAAAGCTCATGTTTTCTGAGTATGTTCAGAAATTTTTTTTTTAAATGTGATAACTATGGCGCCAGGTGGATACTGAAAATATTGTGGGAAACACTTTGTAAAGTACATGATGTCTAATGACTATGCATACGCCTGAAACCAATACAAAATAATATTGAAAATAAACTTTGACAAAAAATTAAAGCTCTTCTGAAACTTATGGGGGGGGGGGCAAATAAATATGAGATTCCAGGGTCCAGTTCATTGATGTTTTTTGGACAAAGTTTAGAGCACTTACTGGTAGCCCTGGGGTACAACAGAAAGCAGATAGAGAGGAAGGTGGGCGTTTACCAAAGTCATATAAATACATACAAAATTGCTGTTCTGGAAAAAAAAGTGGTATGTGGTACCCTGACAGCTGTAAAAGCATGGACTCCCTGCCCTCTGCTCATTGCTTTCCAAACCCGAGTGTGCATGGAAGTCAGCTGGAGATCTTGTCAAAATGCAGCTTCTGACTGGGTGGATCTGGAGTGGGGATTGAGATTCTACATTTCTACCCAGCCCCCAGGTGATGCCCACGCTGCTGGTCCTGGGCCCCAGTTTGGGTAACAAGGCCTAATTATACATAGAGGAGAGGGGTCTATTCACATTCACTGTAAGAAGGCCTGAAAATCCTTGGCTCCACGATCTACTCCACAAAAATTCACTAAGTTCTGGTGTATTTATTTTTTTTCCAAAAAACTTCAGTGTCTCAACAACTAGGGAGTGTAAATAAATAGACAAATATTGTTACATACAGAATTTCTGTACTTATAAAATTAACACCGTCACCAAAATGAAAAATTCACTAAGATATTGAACAGCAGAATTGAGCTGGCAGGAGACAGGCTCAGTCAATTTAAAGATATGTCTCCTGAGATTATCTAGTTTGAAGAACAGAAAGATAAAACTTCAATAAGGATAAAGCGACAAAGATCAACATGGAAATAGGAGATTTAAAAAATTCTATAAAACGACCAGGCATCTATAGAACATTCCAATCAACAACACAAGACTACACATTTTTTAAAGTATGTGGAGATGCTGACAGACTATAAATTAGGTCACAAAACAAGTCTCAGTAAATTTAAAAGAATTGTAATTATACAAAGAATGTTCTTCATTTCAGTGAAATCAGTAACAGGAAAATTGGGGAAATACACAAGTATGTGGAAGTTAAACAACATGCTTGTAAATAACCAAAGTGGAAAAGAAGAAATCAAAGAAAAAATCTTTTCAGGTTAATGAAAATGAAAACAACACACCAAAACTTCTAGAGTACAGATAAAGCATTGCTTATAAGGATGCTGATACTTGTAAATGCCTATATTAAAAAAGAAGAAATCTTAAATCAGTAATCTAAACTTTATATAATGCTGGAAAAAGAGGAAATTAAATCAAGTGAGCAGAAGGAAGGAAATAAGTATCAGAGCAGAAAAAAAAAAAACAAAAATACAGAAAATCAATGAAAGTAAAAGTTGGTTCTTGGAAAAGATAAAATTAGAAATTCAAGAAGGGTCACCATCACTAACCTTACAGAAATACAAAGGATTTTGAGAGACTATTATGAACAACTTTACAACAACAAATAAGATAACCTAATGACATGGACAGTCTTAGAAAGACAAACTGTAGAAACTAAATCAAGAGGAAATAGAAAACCTGAATAGACCAATAATAAGTAAATAGATTGAATCAATAATAATAATAAAAAAAAAACTTGTCACAACAGAAAGCCAATGTTCAGATAGTTCAATGGTGAAGTCTATCAAATATTTAAAAAGAATTAACATCAAATCTTCATAAATTCTTTAATAGTGTGAGGGAGGAAACACTTCCCAACTCATTCTATGAGATAAAACAGAATATTTTGGAGATTATTGCTGTTTTAACAATGTTAAGTCTTCTCTTTCATCAACATGGGGTAAGGTAAAGGCAGTGCTTAAAGGCCCTTGTAGCAATAAACACCAGAAAAAATTTTTTAACAAAGATCTCAAATCAATACCCTAAATTTACATTGAAGAACTAGAAAAACAATCGCAAATTAAACCCAAAGCTAACAGGAGGAAGAAAATGATAAAGATTTGAGTAAAAACAAAACAGGTAATCAACAAAAAATGATTTTTTTGACAGGATAAACAATTTGAAAACCTTTAGCTAGATTAACAGGGAAAAAAAAGTACAAATAACTAATATCAGAAATGAAAGTAGGGATGTTACTACCAACCTTACAGAGAGAAAAATGATAAAGGAATACTATGAACACTATATGCCAACAAATTAGATAACCTAGATGAAATGGACAAATTTCTACAAGAAGGAAAAGAAAATTCCAGCAGACCTATCTATGACAAGTAAAGAGACTGAGCAGTAATCACAACATTCCAATAAAGAAAAGTCAAGGGCCAGATATCTTCACTGGTGAAGGCTACAAAATTTAAAGAATTAAAATCACTCCTTCTCAAAGTCTTCCAAGAAATTGAAATTGAGAGAATACTTTGTAACTAATTCTATGTGACCAGAAATATTCTGGTACCAAAGCTAGATAAAGACATAAAAGACAGTAACAGACCAGTATCTTCTACCAATACGGGTGCAAATTCTTTAACAAAATATTAGCAAATTGAATGTAATATAGAATTTTAAAAGTTAGACATCATGACTAAGTGGAATTTATGCCAGAAACACAAAGGTGGTTAAAAATAAGAAAATTGACCATTCAACAGTTTACTGCATGTTCTAGGTAAAGCAATTAGGCAAGAAAAAAAAATAAAAAGTGTTGGTAAGGAAGAACTAAAACTACTACTATTTGCGAATGACATTGAGCCTACATCTAGAATATCACAATGAATTCACAGAAAAGTGACTAGAGCTATTAAATAAATTGAACAAAGTTGCTGTCCACAAGATTAACATAACTCAATTGTCTTATCAGGGAAATGCAAATCAAACGCACATGAGATATTATCTTATACCTGTTAGAATGGCTATGATAAAAAAGACAAGAAGTAGCAAGAGTTTGGCTAGGACAGAGAGAAAGGGGAACTTCTGTGCACTGTTGGTGGGAATGTAAATTGGTGCAGCCACTATGGATAACAGTATGGGGATGCCTTAAACATTTTGAAATAGAACTACCAAGAGGCTCTGGTCAAGATGGAAGAGTAGGTAAACTCTAAACTTGCAAACTCTCATAATCACACCAAAATTAGAACTGATTTGTAGAACTACCATCCTGAGAACCACCTGAAGACTAGCTGAACAGACGTCCTATAACTAAGGATATAAAAAAGCAGCCACATCGAGACTGGAAGGAGGCGTGGAGACACACAATGAGCAGGTCACACCCACAGTGTGCCAATTATGAACAGGAGGACTATCTCAGCATGCAGAGTTCTCTTCTTTGCAGCGAAGGGTCAGAGCCCCACAATAAGCTCCTCAGCCCAGTGTGAGGAAGAGGAGTCCCCATAACATCTGGCTCTGCAACCCACTGGGGATTGTGTCCAAGAAAGACAGAGTGCTGTTAGAGACAAAGGTGCTACTCTTTTTTTTTTTTTTTTTTTTTTGGTGGTATATGCCCCTAGCAGGAACCAAACCCGGGACTCTCTCAACCGCTGAGCCAAACTGGCCAGGGCAAAGGTGCTACTCTTAAAGAGCCCGCACAAAGATTCACTTCCTCACAATCTCACTCACTCTACGCTCCGGTGCAGGGGCAGCAGCTTGCAAAGCACCATAGACATATGGGGAGAAACTGAATTGACTAACGTCAGGGAGAGAGCTGGAGGGACAGGGGTCAGCAACCCTCTCCCAGGACAGAAGCGCAGGCAGATGCCTTTGTTCCTTTGTGGAGCTCTCCTTG